TAATTTGTAATCCCAACAGCTCTACTTTCAATTACCATAGAGCTGATTGGGAGCAGTATCGAACATTTATGGAATATAACTTCGATCCAAACATTCCTTTGCAAACCAAAGATGAAATTAATTATGCTCTTGAATCTCTGACTACTTCTATAGTTGAAGCAAGAGCTGCCTCAGTACCAAAATGCGAGGTTAAATTCGATTCAATTATAATAGACGATGATCTTCAGCTCTTGATCCGTCTTAAAAATGTCCGTAGGAGACAATATCAAAGAACACGCGATCCTGCCATGAAAGTTATCTGGCGGGATTTGCAAAAACAAATTAAAAAGCGATTCTCTGCCCTGAGGAACAACACTTTTGAAAATAATGTTTCTAAATTAGACCCGAGTTCCAAACCCTTTTGGAAACTCACAAAAATTTTGAAAAAACCTCAAAAGCCAATTCCAGCGCTTAAAGAAGGTGGTAAAATTTTGATCACAAATTTGGAAAAAGCTCAGAAACTTGCTAAGCAATTCGAGAGTTCCCATAATTTCAGTTTGGGTCTTACTAGTCCTATTGAGAATCAGGTTGCTCGGGATTTTCGGAATATTTTCTCTCGGGAAAATATTTTTGATGATTCCTAGGGGACTGATTTGGACGAAGTAAGGTTTATAACTAAAAAATTTCAAAATATGAAAGCTCCAGGTGATGATGGAATTTTCTATATCCTCATCAAAAAACTCCCAGAGAGTACCTTGTCTTTCCTGGTAAAATTATTTAACAGATGTTTCCATTTGGCATACTTTCCTGATAAATGGAAAAATGCAAAAGTTGTTCCAATTTTGAAGCCGGATAAAAATCCAGCTGAAGCTTCTAGCTACCGTCCAATAAGTTTGCTTTCTTCAATAAGTAAACTTTTTGAAAAAATAATTTTGAATAGAATGATGCTTCACATCAATACGAACTCAATTTTTGCAGATGAGCAGTTTGGATTTCGCCATGGGCGTTCAAACTCATCAACTCTTGAGAGTTACCAATTTAATTCGTTCAAACAAATCTGAAGGCCACTCAACTGGAGTTGCTCTTCTAGACATAGAAAAAGCATTCGACAGTGTTTGGCATGAAGGTTTGATTGCTAGATTGAAAAAGTTTAATTTTCCACTTTATATTATGAAATTAGTTCAAGTAAATTATCAAAATTCCAAATCTAATCGACTACCTGTTAGGGCAGGAGTTCCTCAGGGTAGCATTCTTGGGCCTATATTGTATAACATTTTCACTTCGGACCTCCCTGATTTGCCTCAGGGTTGCCACAAATCTTTGTTCGCTGATGACACAGGCATTTCCGCTAAAGGAAGAAGCCTTCGTGTTATTTGCAGCAGACTGCAGAAAAGTTTAGATATTTTCTCTTCTTATTTACAAAAATGGAAGATTTCTCCCAACGCTTCCAAAACTCAACTTATAATATTTCCACATAAGCCTAGAGCTTCGTTTTTGAAACCTAGTAGTAGTCACATAGTCACTATGAACGGAGTTCCAATTTCCTGGTCAAACCAAGTGAAATATCTTGGATTAATACTTGACCAAAAATTAACTTTTAAAGATCACATTGAGGGCATTCAAGCCAAATGTAACAAATATATTAAATGTTTGTATCCTCTTATAAACAGAAAATCCAAACTTTGCCTGACGAATAAACTTCTAATATTTAAACAAGTTTTTAGACCGGCCATGCTTTACGCTGTGCCAATATGGTCTAGTTGTTGCACTACCAGGAAAAAAGCACTTCAAAGGATTCAGAACAAAATTCTGAAAATGATTTTGAAGTTGCCTCCCTGGTACAGTACAACCGAAGTACATAGAATTTCGAATGTTGAGACTTTAGCACAAATGTCCAACAAAATAATGAATAATTTCAGGCAAAAATCGTTGCAATCCTCAATTGCAACGATTAATTCCCTTTATACTTAGATAAGATTTAGTTTTAGTTTTTAGTTTTAAGATATCAATTGTTATACTGACATGTAGGTTAAAAAACCTGTTTAAAATACTGAATTGCCAAGACATGAACAATGTAAAAACACTTAGATATATATCATAACAATTAAGGCTGGTACGTTACTGCAGTAACTGGAGCACCTAGGTAAAAATGAAATGTAATTTATTTTGAATTTGGAACAAATAAAGAGTTAAAAAAAAAAAAAAGTACACCATATGGCTTAAATGGACCGTTTTTGCATGAACTAAAAAACGCACGTTTTGGCACTTGTAGACCACTGTGCATCGGTGCCGGGTTCTACGGCGTTTGAATATATAAAGCGTTACCAGTAAAAGCCCTCCGGCACGATGGTAGCGATGCGATCCACATTGTTTGTATCATAGTGTTTTGTATGCATTTGTTATTGTTTACATTTTAAATGGTTGTTTTTAGTTGTAAATAATTATTGTGAGTGAGTTTTATTGTTCAGATTTAATATTTAACTACTCATTTTTGTATATAGTTTAAGTTATTCGTTCCTCCTCCGAGGCAATAAAACAGTGAACCAAGTGGTAAATACTTGCAGTGTTTTAATTATACTCTGGAAAAGTCTCCGTCTTGCCGATTTCCATCACACCGTAAAAAACATAACGTAGGACCGCATCCTGGCCGAAACAGTAATATTTAATCAAGAGCAAATTTTCATTATGTCGTAAGTAACATTCGCACCAATCCGAGAAAAATAAAGTTTTGTTTTGATGACCGAAAAGTTATTCCTATTTCCAAGTAAACACATATAATCTCATAGTGATAGCAATGTTTAACATATTTAGCAGGGTTTTAATCATACAAATGCAAATCGCTAGCTTTCATGCTAAAAAATGGTTTTTGAGTCAAAAGTTATTATACGTCGTTTGGTGGCCCCTATTGTTACTTAAGTCAAAGTGTATTTACCAGGATATTCGGGAGAATTATCAATTACATCTCCTTTCGTGCAGCCCATTCATCATTTTAGGACTACCGAAATCATCTTAGCAACAAACAGTTCGATTTATTCACTTTAATAATGAAAAAGCAAAACGACGAACGTACACTTTTCACGGGTTTCTCAGCACTGTTACTTAAGTCAAACGGCATCTCCATAGAAATTGGGTGACTTAAGTAACATTGAAAACTATTTTGATCGGAAGGTGATTACGTCAAAAAGCAATTTGACTGGCAAATAAATTTAAAAATTGGATTTGATCCTATATTCGGACAGTATATAGTGTAATAGCAGGAGAATCGATTGACACTGATAGCTCGACTTTGTTTACCTTTGTTACATTCGACGTAATGAAAATTTGCTCTTGTAATAATATATTGTTATTAATGTTTCAATCAACCATCAATAGTGACGTCTCAATGCAGAAATTGTGAAGAAAATAAATTTGAAATGCCGAAAACCTTGATTTATGAGGTCTTATTTTTATAAAAACTAGCTTTTCAATACCACAAAATGATATATTTTTTTTAAGACTTCGATTCGGAGAGAAGTTTCTAGAATGCTTCATAGGAATACCACCATGCATGGATTCATGGTGAGAGAAGATTGAAATGTTTTCATTTTCAAGATATATTGAGGGTGGCACTCTTGCCCCGGGTGACCTTCTTGCCCCCAGTTCTCCTACCTAGGTTGAACGGGACTCAAATTGTTTGGTATTTTTTTCACATACAAAAATTTTCTTGATCAGTGAGATTTTTGAAAGAACGATAAAAATAAACACCATTTTCGAGGTTAACTCAAAAGTGACGAAACATCATGCACATGTGATGCAGTTTACCTCCCCCAAGGGAAAAAAACGTTCTTTTACAGTTCTACCGACAAACGACATCCGACGGCAGCGGGAATCTTTTTTCCTCATTTTTATATTGTTAATAAATTTACATTTAAACAAATACAATTAAGTTACACAGCATTGTTGTCTACCTTACACTTCCTTTCTTTTTCTTATCGCGGCCTACTATACCTTTCCCTTGCCCTCTCTTTTCCCCCGTGCTGAACTCTTTGTATATCATACAGATTATTTTTTTTTGTTTTCTTCGAAAGCAACCAAAACAGGGGGGCCGCAGAGATATTCTCAAGCTTGGCTGCAAACAGATTTTAGCTGTCCCCTAATATCAGAAGAAGCTGACTGCGCCCCGCGTGGAATCATTTTCGTTTTAACTGGAACGAACCTAACATTCCCGTTGGTGTCATCTTCCCCCACCCTCTCTGGAAGGAGGAAGGGAGGAAGAAAGGACAGCACGCACATTTTTGTATGCTCTTGATTTTTTGTTTAGTAATAATAGTTGTAATCAATTTGATTGATTTCTCGGTTTTCTCTTCAACCTTACCAGCTAAATAAATTTGCTTTTTGTTCTGCTAATTTTACTATTTTTTTTTTGTGTTTGCTTCGGATGTTGACCACCTGCGAGTGTGGCGCGCGAGAGGTGTGCTCCGTGTAATTCGAACTCATTACCATGCGCAAAGTTTTTTTTTTGTAGAGGGCTCACCTCGATTGAATTGCCACGTCCATCCACCACGTTCCTGCTTACGGCTTCCTATGTATATGTTGGTTTTTTTGTTTTATTCAATAAAAGAGACATTTCACTAAACACTAAATACTTGTTTATCTCATTTACTCAGAGTTTGTTTGCTTTAAATTAGTTTACCTTTAAATTTGTATAGATTTTCTTGCTCACATTCATTAATAACTAGAATTTTAAATGTACTTCCTTTTCAGATTTTCCATTCTTTTATAATAATTAATATATATATAAATTTTAATATTTTGGATTCACTTGTCTGCGCCACTATTATAGTGTGGGTGTGAACCGGGTTTCGGTTCACTTTCGTGAGTTTCGCCTAACGTGAAACACTATGAATGAATGCGTTGATTTTTTTTGTTTGTTCACGCTTTGTGTGACTGAAAATGTGCAATAGTAAATGTAAGATTTCCAATAGTAAAATTTCACTAGTGGAACGGTGTGTGTGTGTGTGTGTTTTTACACTGATAAAAGGAAAAAAGTGTGTGGTTCATTCTTTGTTTTTTTTTAGAGGTTTTACAAACCGACAACGAACGTGAATAAGACCATCAAGAGCGTTTAAAGTGTGGTTTTGTGTGTTTCTATGAGTGAGTAACATTGGGTTACTGCTGTTTGCTGCTTTCCTCCTTTGTGTGCTATTTCTCAATGCGTCTATGAATGATTTTACGTTGCGTGTTTGTTTTGTTTCGGTTGGGTTTACTGCCGGCACTCAGACAACACGTGCAACTGCGGCGGCGGCGCCGCCGGATGAGTTTTACTTGCCTGGGTGAGATGACTGTATGTCCGGGGTTGCGGCGAGATGCATTAGATCTTTTGACGCTTGACTGCCGTCGGTGCGTCGTACTCATCGCTATCGTACTCGACCTGGTCGTCGTCTTCGTACACGTCGGTGCCATGCTGATCGGTGACCACGCCGCCACTGGCGTATGCCGTATACTGATGCTGGTAGGACGAGTTCTGGGAACCTGGAAAGGCGAAAGACAAGTGTTGACCGTCAGGTTGGGGTTACAATGTTCGTATACAAGTCTGTTACTTTCAGCTGTTGTTGCGGATACAGTTGAAATTATATAAGCTACGTGAAAATCTTACAGATATTCAGGGATCTTCGTATAAGTTGACAGAATTTATCAGGAGTTCGCAAAACTACCCACCGGTCCAGTGAACTTCATAGAGGCTTAATGAACTACCGATAAGATCGATAGATTGGAAAGGAACAGGGAGCTTGATTTGAACTTATATCGCTGTGAAGCAACTGTAAACTCTAGAGGGAATGTATATCTGCAACTGTAATCACTTCGATTTTGTTTGCTAGCCTGGTTAAAATGTCATATTTCTTTATCATAAAGAAAAATCGTCCAGCTCAATCCTTTGTAAGGGTAAGAGGTGGGACAATCATCATCAACTGAGCTTAAGCTTACGAAACTTTGTGGTAATACATGATCCTCCGTAAGAGTTCAAGAAACTTTTTGGATTTTAAGAGAACTTCTACGTATTTTAAATAAGATATCAATGAAATCCTCTGGATATTTTTTTCGTTGATCAAGTGTTATTGAAAAGATCTTCAAATGTCGTCCTTTAGGTATTCTCCCAAAATGGCTCATTGATCAGCAAGTATTCAAAAGATCTTCAGCTCTCCAGCTCCAGAGGTTTCAGTTAAGTCCTGTGGATATTCAGGTCGAAAGTGTATTATCAACATCATCGATCAAACGATTTTCGAACAGAAATTGGTGTGTGGAAGGAAGTGTATGTATGTGTTTGGTTCGTCGGCTCCCTCCTTCGGATGACAGCATGGCGTTGCAGCTCTGGTTGTCCTCGTGCAACACCACTGGCCCATCGACGACCTCACCTATGTCCCCTATTAGCTTCAACAGCCAGAGAAGCTCCTGACTAGACTCGGATAGCGCAACGTACTCAGCTTTTGTAGACGACAGGCTGACACATTGCTGTTTCCTAGCGACCCAGCTGTTTTGGACCACCTCCGAGCTTAAAAACGAACCCGGAGTTTGATTTTCGATCCGTTTTGTCACCAACCCAGTCTGCATCCCCGAGCAAAGTCCAGCATCAAAATGACAGCAAATTGAAATCAAGTTTTGATATCAACATCAAACTGAAATCCTAATTTGATTTCAGTTTGCAATTGATAAATTTTGTTTTCATTTTGCTGTACATTTGCTCTTCAAAAATATGTTGTTGTGGGTTTGTTTTCATTGAATTAGCATAACATTAAATTGATTACTTGTTTTGTTATCAACAGGAAAAATTGATATCAAATTGAGTTTTCAGTTTGCTCTCACTGATAGCAGAAATAGTTTTCAATGTGATGTCACAGGAAGATTTGTTTGCTCTCAATTTTGATATTTTAACCGTTAAAACGACCAAAACGACAGCAACCTGAGCAATCATTATCAGCGAAATCACAACATCAACTTTAGATTTCAATTTGATCTCAAACTTTGCTCGGGTCCACACCGCCTTCGAGACCGCCGGTTGCGCCAAGCTCAAGCTTCAAGTCAGTTGTTGCGTTGAGGTACCGTAAAGTCCTCTTCGCCTCGGACCAATCCGTTTCGGTAAGTTGGCTCACCTTTCGTCCCAGAATAGACGCAGCAATTGCAATATTGGGTCTGGTGCACACCGCAACGTACAGCAAAGCACCGACCAGACTCTGGTAACGCTCGCCGGATGGCATACACTCCTCCTCCTTTTGCTTCACGTTTGGATACCCAGGAACTATGGGTATTTCCGATGGCTTCGCTTGGCCAATGTCAATCTTCCGAATGTAAGCTGATTGGTTCAACAAGAAACTGCCGGAACACGTTTGCTCCACCTGTATGCCGAGGTAGTTGGTGATACCCCCCAGGCAGGTGAGCCTGAATCGTTTCGACAGGTAGATAGTAGATCCTCTCGTATTCGTTGTTGTCGGGACTCACATTCAACATATCGTCGACGTACAACAATATGAACGATAATTGATTATCGATGCATGTACCCAAGCTGCTTCAACGTTTCCATGATTTTCTGGTTCCAGATACGACCCGCTTGCTTCAGCCCGTATATGCTAAGCTTCAACAAACACACCTCCTCCTCAGATCCTACTTGATAGCCCATTGGTTGCTTCATGGAAATGGTCTGGGTGAGGTCTCCGTGCAGGTATGCTGACTTCACATCGATGTGCTTGACTTGCAGGGATCGACGGTGCCGAACTACTGACTGTATCCCTGTGCTACGAGTCGTACTTTGTAGTGGATCACTTGGCCAGACTCATCCAGCTTCTTCTTGAAGATCCATTTGCTTCGGACTGGTTTTTGTTTCGATGGCAGCTTCACGATCTCCCATGTCGAGTTTTCTTGAAGGATTGCGAATTCCACATCCATTTCCTGGCTGCGTATAACTTCATCATAGGTACGGGATTCATCATGCTGATTGGACACCAGTCGGGTGGTTTCTTGATACCGCAACGGTAACACACCTTTGTTTTCACGGCTGGACCGTCGAACATCCTCGGCTTCGTCTTCGATGGCAGTGTCAAAATCCTCCCCGGCGCTGAAGGATTCATCAGAGAACCCTTCGAAATCGTCTTCATCGGATTTCGAAAGCTCCAACTAGAATTTATCGGCTGTAGCAACGGGTTTCTCATCATCCTACGGTTTCCCGAACCTCATCTGCTGGAATGAACCTAGCATCTCGAGATACGACGAGCTTGTTCGTCGCTAGATCCAGGAAACGGTAGCCCTTGTGCTGTTGCGAATAACCGACGAAGGTCATTTTCATCGACTTGGGGTCCAATTTCGTACGCTTCTCTTTTGGGACCCACACGAAGGCTTGTGATCCGAACAATCGAAGATCGGTGGCATTCTGGCATCAAGCAGCATGCACCTTCCCATCTCAACTAACGAACGTTTTTTCCTTTCAGCTACTCCATTCTACTGGGGCGTGTGGCTGGTACTAAATTGCTGCCGAATGCCCTCTTGACGACACAAATTCTCTAGCTGCTGGTTCTTCACCACCTTGGTCCGATCGAATTACTTTCGGTGACCTGCCGAACGTTGTCTTCATCTCCTGCACATATTGCTTGATGTAATCAACTGCTTGCGCCTTTTTCTTCAAAAAATACACCATCGAGTACCGCGTGAAGTCATCGGTAATCGCCATGAAGTACCGACAACCAGCTGGCGTTGGTGTGTTCATCGGTCCGCATCCAATTTCTTGGGGAAAGGAAACCGGGCAAACTTGCCCTCTAAACAACACTCGCACACAGCTTTAACACCGCAACTCACTATCTTGATCCCGGTAGCCAGATTATTCGATTCCAACTCGGCGACTGCTTCTGGGTCTCTGTGGCCGAACTTCCGGTGCCACGCGTGCTGCCAATGTTCCGAGTGACTATTGCCGTTGGCCATATGCGCTCCGTGGGTGATCTGAAGGTTGTACAAACTGCCAGATACCGAGCCAAGAGCTATAACCTTGCTACCCTTGGAAATGCGACATCCTGTATCGTCGAAAATGACAGTGCCGCCCTTCTTCGTTGCAGATCGTACAGAGAACAGATTCGATTCAAGATCAGGGACAAACAGCGCATCATTGAGGAGGATCATGCTGTTGATATTTCCTTCTTCACCAACGCACTGAATACGACACATACCTTTTGCAGCCGATTTGGTCTTCATTCCATTCGCCAGCACGATGTCTTCGGAGACGGACTCGTCCAGTGATTCGAAAAACTCGTTGCGCCAGAAACAACCACCCACAAGTTGACGTCGCTGCCTATGGTTGCCATGAAAGCATACTCGTCGGAACCGCTTCGAATTGCCTTCGCCTTCGTAGGTCTGCTGGCTTGCTTCGAATCATATTTCTTTGGTGGTTCTGCATTCTGCTTGTGGCCAACTTTATGACAATGGTGGCAAACGATTTGCCCATTCGTACCTGCATTCAGTACCGAATGTGCACCACCGGCACAATTACGCTTCGCTACCTCGTCCACCAGCTTCGTCTTGACTGAAAGGTCAGCATCAGAACGGCTTTCCAGTGCCGTTGTAAGCGGATTGAAAGAATCCGGCATGCTTCGAAGGACCATCATCGCAACGTGCAAATTAGCATCCAGCACCTGGCCTGCTATCGACAGCCGTTCGAATAGATCTTGCATCTCGGTGATGTGCTTGTCCCTGCTGGCCAAGATCGAGATTGCCAATCCTGCTTCGCCGATGAATCTACGTTCGTTAGCCGAGAAATGCCAGCGACTCCTGAATCTCAAGAGGGACACTGCAATGATTGAGAAGACAGGAAACAAGCCAACCGTATTTGCGGCGAAACAGCCTCCAAGAACCAAGAGCAACCCCCAGCCGCAATCCGAAACTCCGAATTCGCCATGTTGTAGATGCGGGGAAATGCATTATTCAAAGAATTGCACGTTTATCCAGCATGAGTTCAAATCTTGCAAGAAAGTCAGTCACAGGGAAGGATATTGTGCAACTTCAAATCTTCTCGGAAGAAGGAAAAGCGCAATCAGACAACAGCGAATGCAGCGAAGGGGCATCCACTCCGTGAACCTAGTCAGCATCGCACATAGAAGGAAATTTGTCACTGTTGAATTAAACGGAATACCAGCGAGACTACAGTTAGATAGTGCTGCAGACATCAGTGTGATTTCAGTGGACGTCTACAAGCTACTGGGTAACCTGACTGGTGATGATATGGGCCTCAAGCTGAAGTTCTCGTGTACCATCATGCTCACCGACGTTGTCAAGCGAGGAAGGTGTTTCGTCTTCAGAGGAAACGACCTGAATCTGTTCGGAGCTGAGTGGATCGAGCTTTTTGGACTATGGGATGTGCGGTTTAACGCGGTATGCAACCAAGTTTCCATGAAGTCACATCCGATGTCGACAGAGTTGGTGAACCGTTTCAAAGAGAAGGACAGCAACGTATTAAGCGAACATCTTGGACTCTGTACGACGAAAAAGGTGTCATTTAC